GGGGGGCACTATTTCTGTCTTCTTCCTTTGGTCTATAGCCCCTTTGGCACCCTACCCACCCCCTGCTCTGATGGCACCAGGCAGTTGCCACCGGCTGTGGATTCTGTGCACATCCATTGTATGTCCACTGTGCTGGGAATTCGGCAGGGTACTTGGAGAGCTTACAAGTACATCAGCGAGATCATTTCAAATGTGCCCAATGGAGAAGTCCAGGCTAGAATGACAGAGGGACCTTAACCAGGGGAGCAGGGTGGGCTGAGGTCAGGGACACCACAGCTGAGCTGACATTTGAGAGCCGAGCCCTGGCTAGAGAGGAGCACACCCCTCCAGAAGACGGGGAGGAAGGAACCATGAGCAAGAAGGTTCCCAAAGGAGCCTTTGACACCATGGTCTCTGACACTCAAGAGGCGGGCAGTTCTTCAGACTCGAGTCCAGAGAACTGGCCACAGTGAATCAGGGTGACATGTCATTAGGTTTCCCAAAGGGATGTCATGTTTTTCTGATGCTCCTGGCACTGGTCACAGAAGGTGGGGTGGGATGTGTGTGTTTTGAGCCTCATCTTCCCTTTTCAGGAACAGATGGTTAACACACCTCTGCTGGGCTGTAGTGTCCATTGTCATGTAAGAATGCACACATTCGGGGAGTCATCGAGGTCTTGGGGTAAAACTCTGAGCGTCACGCCTAAACCTCTAGCTGTCACCCCCTTTCTGACGCCTGGTGACCCTTCAGGAGAGAGTAGATCAGCCCCATCTAGTTGACATGGCTTTCCATCTTTGCAGAGGCCGACTGCCACGTCTTTCTCCCAGAGCGCCACAGATGGGTTTGAACCACCGAACTTTTGGTTAGCAGCCCAGTGCACCTCTCAGTTCATGGCCATCGAGTCCATTCCAAGGTCCTTCTGACTGATAGTGACCCTATCGAACAGAGGAGCACTGCTCCTGGAGCGTTCTGAAACTATACATTTCTTTCAGGGGCAGACAGCCTCTTCTCTTTCCCCAGAGCACTGGTGGACTTGAACAGTAGACCTGGCAGTTAGCAGTTTACCGGGGAACCCACTGTGCCACCAGGGCTCCTTCACTCACACCTGGCACTCAGTAAACACTCAACTCGAAGCTGCTGTTGGTCAGTGGAGTCGGTGGGTCTGCTCACAGAAAGGTGGGACTTCACTCAGGCACCTTGGAAGAAAGGCAGGTGGTCGCGTTCTGAAATGTCAGCCATTGAACCCCGAGGAGCACGGGTCTGCTCTGACACACCGGGCGTGACCAGGCGTCGGAATGGACTGGTACGGGTCTATCGTGGCAACCCTGGCTCGGGATTCTCATGCTGTCTGACATCGGGGTTCCCTTCCCTCGTGGGGACAGGCAGCTGTGGATGGAAGGCAGCCTGTTTCCTCCGGCACAGTGATGTTTTCAAGTCACAGCAAGATTTGCGAAGGCGATGTTGCTACCAGACTTCTGGCTAGAGGCCCAACCAGCAGGCTGCGTGGCCCCTCAGACACTTACTGCAGTCACTTATGTGGGGGGTGGTCAATGTGCTGAAGGCATTAGCTCCAAGAATGGAAGGACTATCCATTGAAATATCTCAACAGCCTGATGAACCACTGGAAGCTCTTAGCTCTTCTACGTCAAGAAATTGGGATTGCGACAAAGTCCCTGGAAAGGACACCATGCTTGGCAAAGTGGAGGGGCAGTGAGGCAGAGGAAGCCCCTCTGTGAGATGGATGGACACAGTGGCTGCAACAATAGGCTCCGACATAGCCACAACTGTTACAACAGCATTATTGTAGATGTATAAACAACAATACACGTACCACGTATTCTAACCTAACACGGCTGTGAGGACCACGATGGTGAGGATGGTGCCGGGCCAGGTGGTGTTCCGTTCTTTGGCACACGGGCCGCTATGCCTTGGAACGGACTCAAAGGTCCTAAAACAACAGCAGCCGCCTCGTCGCAGCGTCATCCTAGACAGGCGTTCCCTTTTCCTGTCCGCTGGCATCTTCAGGAGTCTGTAGGTGATGTC